CTGACCCGTTTTTCAAACGGGTCAGAAATCCAAACCCAATACGTTTCACAAATGGGTTGGCCCTAACCCAAATTTTTTCGGATCGGGTTTCGAGTCGTATCAATTTTTGACACTCATGAGTTTCATGACCTTGAAGAAGTTCTCAACTCCCTCTCTACCTAAAATAGGCTATACAACACGAAATTAGTGCACTTAGTTATCTTCAATAGTCCTCTCTGCAACCTTTTTTTTAAAAAAAAAAAGAAAAAAAAGATGAACTACAACCATAAGGATGATTTTTTTAATCTCTTGAATCAAGATGCTTTTAACATATATAATAATAATAAAATTGAAGTAGCTTTGCATGAAGTTGTACCTTATAGCACAATGAGTTCACTAACTTTGTTTACTTTCATGACCACTAATGTGGCTTTACAAACTTTAGGGACTACACACAGTCGAAGACTATGCATCCTACTTCACCAAGAGCACTCAAAGATATAAATTCTTTCAAAGGCTTGATAAATGCATAACTCTCATCAAAGTTTTATAAGTTATGTCAAAAGCTTCATGCATGTTAAACTCTTATCGATGTTTTAATAATACCATCATGAGTCTTCAACATCATTGTACCAACACCAACAATCTTACGTATCACATTATTTCATATATAAATAAAACCTCTAACACCCGACACATACCTAAAAAATAATTTCTTATGAGGACACACATAATATAGACAAGCTAAGTCTAGATCAACTGATCTTAGCATCTAAACTATAGGAAAATCAGCGAAAAATTGTTAAGTTGAATTTAACATTACAGAAAAATCACGTATTACCAACAAATTTTCCGGCGGAAAAATTTTCAAGGGTAAAACAAGTGTCGAAAAAATCAGCTGGGAAAATTTTCCGGTGGAATTTCTCCTCCTGGAAAATTTTCTGGATTTTTTCCTGTTGGAATAAGCCTGTTGAAGCTAACATTCACCACCTTCACATATGCCTGCCTGCGCTGTCCAGACGCCTGACCGCCAACCCGCCCCACACTATCCGGCCGGCCTCCCGCCTCGCTACCAGGACACCTAATCACCAACCCGCCCCACGCCACCCAGCAGTACCGAGTCGCGGTACCAAGCAGTACCGAGACGGGTATCGAGCAGGAGGTGACATAGCGCATTCTGGTTGGTCTCTAGACGTCGTTTAGCGTCTACACAGAATAATTTCTCCTGCAAGAGAGACCATTTTAGTAAGTCTCCCTCTAACCATCAATCCCTCAATCCGCTTATCATTTCCAACACCCTTGAGTTTAGTAACTACATTTTTAGAGGAAAAAAGTAGTGATTTCTTACGTCTCTTATCATACAGCATAGTATTGAGCTCGGTACTGAGCAGTTCCAAGTAGTACCGAGCTCGATACTACTCAGTATTAAACTCTGTACTGCTCGGTACTCATTACTTCATAGTATCGAGCTCAGTATTGCTCGGTACTGTGAAGTTCCGAACATAAGCTGTGTCCGATGTCCGAATACAATAATTTCCCCTTCAAGAGAGACCATTTCAGTAAGTCTCCCTCTAACCATAAATCCCTCACACCCTTGAGTTTAGTAACTACATTTTTAGAGCAAAAAAGTAGCCTCTTATCATACATCATGATGTGAGAAGATACTTGCAAAAGAAAAAAGAATACATGAGTAATAAAGCTAATCTTTATCATCAATTATCATATATTTATTTCTGAAATTCTTAACGATACAATTAAATTCATTTAGATCAGACTTAATTGCAGTTCTTTCTTGCTACTCATATGCACGAGCTCTATCTTTTTTTATTTAAAAGTCTCTAATTTTTAACATTGAGTTCAATTATATTATATATATAATATTTATCAGTAAATAAAACTTGTTAATAAGTTGTGTGTACAAATGTGCTTCAGTTTTATACAATTTTTTTATTGCTCTAACTTCTCAAATAGATGTTCTTAATTATATATGTAATTGTTCTTTGCAATTTTTTTTGCAAACATTGAAATGGATATAGGACCTAGTTGTAGGTGCACTAGTCATGACTACGATAGTAGGTATTCAAGCTAGCTCATTGAGCTTGGGTGTGAAGTGGCGCCCTGCCCCCCTTCGCTCCACGCCTGACTCAGCCCCCTTCACTCACCAGAAGTCCATGAGCCTTTTGTGGGTCCCAGCACCCCATTTCAGATCTATAGGAGGAGAAGGATTAATGGGAGATTATTGGAGAAAAATTTTCACATAAATAAATAGCCGATTTCTATAATTCACTATGTGTTTGTGAATACTCAATTTCTATAATTCATATAGCAATATCACATAAAATTTTCTCAATTATGTATATTCACATCTTCTTCAATTAGGAGAAAGTGATGATTTAAGTGTCTTTCGTTATTTAATAAATTCACTAAATTAGACCCGACCTGTGATTTATAATCATTAATGAACTTCTAAACCTTGTTATTATTGTAGTTAGTGTTTTGATTTGTTTGCCCTATTTGCTTGTTGTTAGAATGTTTGAGCAATGCTTATCTTATTTTCTTTATGTGGAACCAAATGAAACAATTCATCTTATTTTGTTCGTATTGTCACTTGATTTTATTGTTTAGAATTCTAAAAATCGTTCTTATTTGAATAATTTAGTGAGCTCAACGTCATAAGAGTTTTAATCTAAGAAGCTAAAAATTTTTATATTTCTTCCAAAGTTATGGGTATGTAGCCTTTAATATGAGGGGAGCTTTCTTTGAATGCAAAGGGGAAATATGTTTGGAAAATTGTCCAATCATTTATCCTCAATTCTAATGCATAACTTAGGCTATCATTTTGATGGAAAATTTTGAATTTTGTCTTCCATGCATAGAGAGGAGTGACCATTTTTATGAACAATGATTTGAATAAATTAAATGTGAGTGATTTTTAATCTATGATACATATTTTACATAATTTAATAGAAGAGTAAGGCTTCATTTAGGACAGCTTTCTTACTGCTTCTTAAAGCAGCTTTCTCGTTTAAATATTAAAAGTTTTGTACTAGAAAACTGTTTTAAGAAGCAGTAAAAAAATCATCCCAAACGAACCCTAAATATAATAGAATGTACTTTTGGGTTCAATAACTTTCCATCAAACATAGCTTTGAGAAGAGATTAATTCCTATGGCTATAGAAAGGATTTCAATGATAGTTCTAAGGGAGATTTTTTTGTGGCTTTCAAGGATTTTGACAACAATTGAGTGGAAGGTTCTATATGAGCTTTAAATGTACTAGAGCATGAAAAATTATCATTGGGTGACTAAGAAGAATACTATTGATCTTTTTTATGTCATTTTGATATTAAAATGTTAGCAAATATCTAGGAAATAAGTGGTATATATGTAAATATACATATCGTTGAAGTTATTAATTATAACTCGAATGTGATACCTATTAAATATGCAATTCATACAATTTTGAGGGCTATATATGCAAATGCATCTAAGTTAATATGCTCATCATGACTTTAAATGCATTCAATTAACTATCACAAAGAAATTATATGATGCAAAGCATAATTATGTCCATTATCAAGCAAGAAATATTATTTATTTTTAAAGCAAATATTTAAATACAGTTTTAATGAAGATCATTTTATATTCTAAAACATTTACAATAACTTTTGATATGTATCAAAAATAGTCTCTTGATCAACACAAATCTCAAGGCAATATTCTAATTCAAAATTTTTATAATTAAGTTCAGGACAATCCAAACTCTAATTTCAATGAACTAAATAATCAAATTGAACGTATGGAAGATACAAACTCCTCGACATCATAAATGATCTGATCTGAATCCAAATAAACTCAAATAAATCCCTTGAAGCATATTTAAAAATTCATAAACATTAATTAAATGATCAAACAATATCCAAATCTATGTTCTTATAGTCAAATTTGGTAATTTGATGAGATAAATCCAAGACCATTTGGTTTTGATATCATTAATATACTAAAATATTGATTACATGATCTACGATCAAGAGGATTATTATGAACCGTTAGATATAATATTTTTTTATTCTAGTCAAATTTATATAAATGTCATTAAAAAAAACTATAAAAAATATCTCACTTGCTACAAAATTAGGGTTTCAAGAGCTATGAAAGCTAAAAGATCTCTATTATATTTTCCAAAAAAGCCCCTTAAATTGGCACAATATCATTTCATGCCCTATCAATGAAACCTTTATTTGTTAACCAAAACATCACAATTTCATAGAATGGCCAAAGAGGGAACAATAGGTCATAAAAAATGATCATTATAGATGACGATCATCGACAATCACCATCACAATTTTGATCTCTTGTAATTTTCTTTCTCTATGTGATAAATTTTTTATTCATAATTAAAATATTAGATATAATCTCATCATAACTTTTCAAACATCCATTATCTTTAAAAATTTGTAAACAAATGATACTCTTTTAGGAAGATCATCTATTCTAAAGAGAAATTATTACGTGCGGAGTTCGGACATAATGTGAGTGTATATACTGTGTACACTCACAATCCGGATGTAGCAAACTCCACACATAATAATATTTCTTCTATTCTAAAAACTTAGCCAAGGCTACACGTCTGACTGGCCACTCCTTGAGTTTAGTTTGGAATAATTTTTTATTATTTTTTAATAATTATTTTTTAAAATTATTGTACATAAAACTTGCTTTAAGCTTTAGGGCGACTATTTTTTGGGAGATTTACATGCATACCATCATATACTATTTTATTTATATATTTAACATCTAAAACTTTAATATTACATACATACCACTCATATTTTATTTTCATATCAAATGTGAGTGATTCAAATGAAATATATAAGTGGTATGAAAGAAATATAAGTGACATATTTGATATTAAAATAATATAGGGCGATAATTATGTAATATTAAAATTTTAAATTTTAGATTTATAAATGGGATAATATAAAGTGGTATGGATGTAAATTTCCCCTATTTTTTTCAGTGCTTAATTTTAATCCTAAAAAGTTTGTTTATAGTCAGTAAGAAAGTGTAGTGGTTGCTCGCTGGGGAGGCGGTGACCGGCGACTACTAATGGACGACGACGAGGCGGCCTTTTCCTTCGATGGCTTCAGCGAGGAGGCGAAGCAGGAGATCGGCTGCTGGGAACCGATGGCGCCAATTTTAGCATCACGGGAGAACTTTAGAAGCTGGGAGATGGTGTCCAACTCTTACCATGACTGCTCCATCTTCCCTCCTAATCTCCATGAAGGACTTCACGTCCGCTCTAATCCAGATCAAATTTTAGCTCCTTCATTTCCTTCGCCTCTACAACAGATCAAAGGCGCTGCGATTGAGCAGTGTTTACCGGAGAGGCGCAAAGAGGAGAAAGAGTCATGTCCGGCTTCCAATTGGATTTCGATCTCAGCTCATCGTTCGATTGTTTCTTGGTTTGAGGTTATCCGATCCAAGGTTTCAGGTGGAGGAGGAAGTGCAGAGGCCTTTGGAGTTGGAATTTGTTCATGTGCTGCTTTGGCTGGCTTGGCTGGATTTTTTATGTATTTGAGGCATCGCCATCGACGGGAGAAGGAGTTTCTGTTATTTCTTATTCAAGAGAAGAATCAGGTTTGGTTTCTCCTTTCTTCTTTCTGTTTTTTTTTTTTTTCTTTTGCGTGTTTGATTATGATCTGCTGCTCCCTCTTTGGCCATTCTGTGAAACTGTGATGTTTTAGTTAAGGGTTTCGCTGATGGGGCATGAAAGGATATTGTGCCCATTTAAGGGATTTTTTGGTTGCTTGACGTTAAAAAAATAGGGGTATGTTTTGAAACATAATCAGTTTGTTAGATTTTATTTATTTGATCGCATGTAGTTAGAAATCAATATTTAAATTTTAAACTTCAGAAATACCTTAAAACTACCTTGTAAGTGTTTCACTTTCTCTCAAAATGAGTGAAAATGAAATCATCATTTTCTATCTAAAAGAAATCAAATGAGCCCTATAATAGAAGAAATCTTTTCCCTGTATATACCGGGAACTTCTTCACATTGTATTTCTTTCTTGGGATTGATAATGTTTCCACAAAGAGAAGTTTTATGCTCAATAAAAAATTTCACACAAAAAATTTCACGCCAGATCATCACTTCATTAGACGAATCAATGCATGCCCTCAAGAAAAAGTACATGGCTCCCCATTTTGTTCCGGCCACCAAAAACAGAGTATCCCAAGTAAAGTTTCTTAGGATTTTTCATGCATACTGTAATGCTTGCACCTTCCAAGAGCAAGTTGTTAGGGCTTCTCCAACCGAACTAGATACGACCATTTGTAATTCCGCTAGTTGTCCACCTGAATCCCATTTTGCAGTTGTATTTTTGAGGATGTGAATAGTGTGACGCCAATATGTTCACAAACTCATTTTTTATTATAAATTTATCCTAAAATTATTAAATTTTAAGATCTTGATCCCAAATATATTAGTTTAACTTATGTTATTAATTTTCTAATTTTAATATGTTTAATGTTTTTATGCAATTAATTTATTTAAATTAGGTGAGAAATATTATATATAGATTTTTTTTTGGGTGTTAGAAATAGAGATTGGTTAGAGATAACTTATATTGTTTGATATGACTTTTACTGTACTTTGAAGTGGAAAATAAGTTTTTCGGTTGGAGATGCCCTTAAATGAAAGAGAACTTTAAACATGAATATTCTTGCTCAAGCAGTGATAGATCTAGGACATAGGTATTGTGGGCGGAGAGCAGATGAGAGTAATATGAAAATATTTCTCAATTTTATTAAAGTGAATTCGTATAAAATTTTACACTTGCAATGCATTATATTATTTCGCGTAAGACAATATAAAGGATATGAAATTCTTAGGGGTCATCTCTTTCCCCCTATCTCTCCTAAGATCCACTATTGCGCCCAGGATAACAATGTTATTATGATTAGTTAGGAATTGTTCAATTCTCAAAAATTGAAAAAATTGTCCTCATCTTTTATAATATGCAGTTTTGAGATGGTTAGACATTTTGGCTCAAATAAATATATATTTTGCGAATGAATTTTAGATTGACAAGTCTCTCAAGTATCTAAGGCTTCCCAATAATTTGCATAACCCGCACGTCATGTATGATTTGATCAACTCATGTCAATTTCCTCATATTATGAATTTACGCAAATTATTTAGTTCTTGATGCGTTCAACTATTATAAATGTCTGTTTTTGTTGAATTTGTTTAAAACTGTAATTCATGCTATATTGGTTTAAAGAACTACGTTAGAACTCTGAAAATTATTCAGCCAACGGCTTCTCCCTTCTCTACAGGAAACAGGATTTATAATTTTTTTCTATGTATTGGTGTTTATTGGATTTCAACTGAGTCTTAGAAAACATATTAGGCACACTTTGTTTGCTTCAATGAGTTATTTTCAATTAGTAATGTACTATTGTCTGCTAAGCATAGACCCTATTGATTGCCTATAGTAATGTTTTTGAAGTGTCAGATGCCTTCAAGATGATACATATGTCAATGAGGCACTAGACACCAACATATGCACTTGCTCAAGTGAAATGAGGTGCTAAAAAAATAAATAGCTCTATCACTTATATTTTTTTGTTTTAATCATGAGGAATACTTGAATACTTATCAAGAGTATAAAATAATCATCACATTAAATTATGTTGGCCAAATATGAATCTTGAAATTCCTTTGCATTCCTAGTTCGAAACAATGACAACAACATCATCAAGCCTTTATCCCTTGACGTGGGGTCAGCTACATGAATCTTTTTTCTCAATTGTGTCCTGTTAAGAGTCAATTTCTCTTTTTAAATCTAATAAAGAAAGGTGATTTCTAATAATTTCTAGTTTGAAAACATGCTAAATTATTTATCTTAATTATATATAATTAACCTACTTAAGTTTGTAGTGTGTGTGGCTTGGGGATTATCTAATCTTCATTATTATCAATTCAATTTTCATCCTCATCCCGGCTTTCTTGTTTCACTGAATTTGTAGCACTACATTTGATCCTTTGTCTAATTAAAATTTCCATCTTCAACCTCAAGTTTTATTAATCTAGATTTTCAAGCTAATTCACATACATATGATCTAACTTATTTTCATGAGTGTTTTCCCCTTGTTCCTCCAATTCTCAATATTTTTTTCACGTCATCTTATATCAAGTTATCATCATAGAAAGCTCACTTGTCTTTAGCATTGTAAGTATTAGAATTATCTCTCAAATTAGTGCAAAGCGCTTGCTTCATTGCTCGATGATTTAAAGCAAGGCATGCCTAGTAATAGCTCAAAAAGAGTTCTATGAGGCACTATAGCCAAGCTTTGCTTCTTGCCTTCTCGACAGTACTTTCTATTTTAATATTGAAATTCTTTTTTGTAGTGTTGATTAAGGAATAGTAGTTTTCAAAGGTTCTATTCTTGATATTCTTGTCAATGCTTGTTTGAAGCATCACTGTCGTTTGAGTTGTGTAGCGGTCATTCTTTTTACCATATGGGCCATGGGACTGCAAACCCATGTGTTGGATCTGCCGGGTTATAGTATGAGATTCTATGGATCTTTTTGTTTTTTTTTTTTATGGATGTTTTTGAACATGATATTGGCTTAATGGGAAGCTAGTACTTAGTAATAGTTTAGCAGAATGGATCATATGTGGGATTGTGTACAGAGAAATTAAAGTAGAAGTCATTTGTCACAAACATGCAAACTCTTACGTACTGTAGGACTCCTTTTCAATGGGAAGCCACTTTTAAGATTTTAATAATATTTTTCAGTGGGCTTAGACTGAGCTCTTGATTATAGTGAAGTGTTGTGGTTCATATTGGATGATGGTCTAGGTTTTTGTTCAGTTGACTTGTAACAATGGATATTGTTAAGGTTGTGAGACTTGTAGGTTAGTCCCACAATGAGTTTATGATAAAAATGTTGGTGATAATGTACTAGGGTTTCTTCTCATCGATCAGAAAAGGTTTTAAGTTGAATGTGTGCTTCACCATTAGTGCATTATCCCCAGTTTGGTCCCTTGGTGGTCGAGACTAACAGCCAAGTAGGGAATGGTCAAGCTTGACTGATCATTGTAACTTGTTGATAGTTCTTGTGGCCTCTTTTTAGCCTCTCTCTCCATATCCAAGTTATTGATTCCCATTTTTAACTCCATTGTGGGGTGAGCTTCCTGGTGCATTTGTGGTGTAAGGCACTCCATTAATTAGGAAAATATTTGGAGGAAAAGTGATGGCTGACATGGAGAATTCTCAGTTAAAGAGTTTATTTATTAAGGCACATGGTAGTTTTGAGTTTAGTTTCACTATAATCATTTGAATAGTATGTTTGTCTTGATATACTAATATTGTCTTTCATTTATGAACTTAAAACTTTTGTGTTATATAGTTGTTTGGGCCACTAGTATATTGGAGGTCCCAACTTTGTCTTGCACTGATCCATACTCATCTGATGCACTCTTGACATGTGTAATTTCTGGCTCCCAGGTAGGATGAGTACAAAATTAGATGCTTCTGAGTTTATTTAGAAGCAGTATCTGATGAGGGGGGGGGGGGGGGGCAAAAAAAAACCTCAATTGGGGGGGGGGGTCAAATCAAATCCTAAATTTTAGTTTTTGACTACTCTTGGGTTTGCTAGCTCATTAATGCTTTGAGCTGAAATTTAGCTCATTATGAGCTAATTTTTTTAGTTCATTTATTGAACTAAAAAAATAGCTCATTATTATGTGGACTTGGCCCTTTCCCTTCCCCATACTACCTTCTCGTTTACCTCCTTGTCTCCTCGGTTTCTCTTGGACTTTTGCTATTTTCCTGTGTCGTGGCCCATTGTTTCCGTGGCTGGCTGGTTTTTCCGTGCCTTGGCCTTTGTTTCCCGTGGCTGGCTCTTGGTTCCCGCTGCTGGCCGCTTTGTTCCTGCGGCTGTCTACTGGGTTCCCGTGTTGTTTCTGCTTGGTTCCCATGGTCTCTCTTCTCTATTTTGTTGAACCGTTAGGGCTGCTGTGTTGTGGCTGTTGGCCTTTCAATTCCCTAAAGCTGATAGGTTTATTTAATGATGTTTGATGGCTGTTGGGTGGGGATTTCAATGGCTGCATCTCTGTTTTCTGTGCAGAATTCCTGCTGCAGTTTTTGGAGACTTTTGGCCTTTCATTTGGTGTCTTTTGGCCTTCTAGTTCACATAATTTATTGGGTTAATAATTATGTGAAGTGGCTGTTTGGTTGCCATCTTTTCTCCAATAAATAAAAGATGTTTGGGCAAAGAAAAGAGGTGGTGAAGATGATAATTTTTGGATAAAAATGTGAGAGGTTTTTTGGAAAAGCTTGAGAGCTTTGTCCACTTCTTCTTCTCTATCTTGGGATAACTTGCGAGTTACTCCTATCCTTCGTCTTGGCTTCTAATCCCTTCTTCTACCCACTTGTATGCTTCTTCTAAATGAAAGAAAAACATCTTTAGGTTGTTTTAAGTTTGGTCTTTTGAAGGTTGTAAGTGTTTCTTTATGTTTGTATGTGTTCTTTTTATATGAAATGTAAGAGTTTGTTTTAAAGTTACTAAGTTGTCTCTTCTTTGTTGTATTTTCTTATCCCATGTATGTTTTTAAAGATTAGTAAGGTTTTTTTTTTTGTAATACAAAATTTGGAGCCCTTCCCAAATTTTTGATTACATTATTGGCCTAGGTGAGGATCAAAGTTGATATCTTCGCAACAACTTTCAAACTCCTTATCAAACAGATTAACTTATATACATGCAATTTTTTATTTAGTTGTTGCTAGTTACATTTACCTTTCACCATGCCTATTCTTTGCTCAACTACAAAAGTCGTCCCAACCTTTGGAATAAGCATAAAATCATGCATAAGTACAGTGTCGCATCTAGATTATGCTCGAGCTCTTCAGCTGAAGCTAAACCCCATAGAGTTGCAAACCTTCTTCAATAACTAGCTAATCAAATCAAGTAGCACCCGTTAATTTCCCTTATCTGGCTGCTGGTATTTGTTTTCATACTTCCCATTATATATTCTAATATGAAATATTAATAGGTTTCTGGAAGTAATGCTGTCCCTTTTCTTAGTTTATCTTAATAGGAATAAGCAAAATGCATGAAGTGAAAAATCAAATGCAACAATTACATAAATATAAGCACACGCAGTAAAATCCATCTTTGGACTATGCAGTATAGAAATCAAATAATCCATAAAACTTTAAAAGAGTTCAAAAGAGTATTTCACGCTGCATAAAAAAGAGGAGAAGGAGATGGTGTTGCTCCTCCTTTTGATTGAACCAAAATAACAGCTCATCTTTTCTGAAAAGGTAGATCTCCCTCTTGTTACTAGCGACTCATTATTCTGTGCGGACACCGGACTGAGAGAATCGTTCGGATTTGTTCCACTTTTGCAAAAGGGCAGTAAAAGAGCAACAAATATTTGATTTTTACTAAATAATTGAATATTTGTTGCGCTTTTACAAAAGGGCAACAAAAGTGTAATAAATATGTATTCATAATTGAATATTTTCTATCCTTTTACTGTCTTTTTGCAAAAACGCAATAAATCCGGACGGTTCTCTCCGTCAGGTATCCGCACATAATAATTTCTCCTTGTTAGCATCTGAATAACTCTTCCCTTCTCTCTAGGTCGACACCCTCTCTTCTCTCTATCGGCTTGTGGTTGTGGGATGCACCTCATCACTATAAGAGCATTTTTGTATATAATACTCGAGTAAATATTAGATAGATGGTATCTAGTAACATAATTATAGAGCTTAGGTAGAAGACGGTAGATAACAAACTCTATGGATTATATGGATAAATTTATCTCGGCATCTCAACATCAGCTATGTTGTTTTGCTGAAATTCACCTCATTTTCTCCCTTATACAGAAGATAGGGCTTTTACTGCACCAGATTGCCGAATTAAATGCAGTTCTTGCAGCTCATCGCAAGGTTCCAGTCTTGAAGAGGACCTGAACGGTCTCATTTTGGATCTCTGTGACATTTTATTACAGATAAAGGCACTGCAAAATATCATCAATGAATGTGCTACCAACTGCTGAAGGCTGATAAATACCGACATTTACGCAGCTCTGGTTAGTCTATTTGTTGGGAGTTTTGGCTATTTTTTTAGAGGTCTTGGGTTCGAGTCTTGCATATATGACGTGTGTATAAATTTGTCTTAATTGACCTAAATGTACATAATTTGGTTTTCTACCATTGGACTTAGGAACATTATATGTATAATTGTGCATCTTGTATGCAATATAATGCTTAATCAATATTTGAATTTAGAGAGGAATGCAATAGAATTGAACAGAATTTTGAGAGTTTTTCAGCAGAAAACTAAAATTTATTGAAATGAGAATGTAAAAACAGTTGGAAGAAGTGTTGTACTCTTAACTTTCCTTTTCCATCTTGAAAATCATGGAGGGGATTTGTTGGTATCCTATTTTAGGCAAAATTTAAGCAAGAGTTAGATTATATCCTACCAAATAAAATTTTGTTTTAGACAAATCCTTTTGTGTTCACTTATTATTTAAGTCTAAAATTTAGGCTTCGTTTGGGAAGACTTTTTTGTTGCTTCTTAAAAAAAAATTTTAGTACAAAAATTAAAATTTTTATACTAAAAAGCTGTTTTAAGAAGCAACAAAAAAGCCGTCTCAAACATAACCTTAGTGATTTGTCCCTCTTATCATTTTTAAATCTTGAAACAAATAATTGAATAATTTATTAGTATTTAACATGACTTATAATTATGACAAACAATTTTAGGTTTTTAATCCTCTTAGGATTCACAAATTTTGATTTACTTGATTTGCTAGAACTTGCTTGTACCCAAACATCCCCTAAGAGATCTCTTAGGGGTTATTTGATTGGGTGTAGTAAAAGCCTAAAGTAAATTTAATGCATGAATTTAAAATCTTTGACCTTCACTATCTTTGATGACCTTCCCTTAGTGCATGTCCTAGATATTTTAAAGTAAATTTAATAATTTTATTTATATTAATTTTACATTGCCTATAAAATATAGTGAAAATTATAAATATTTGCAACAAATAGCCCCTTTGTGCAATTTTGCAATTACTTGGGTGGATCTATGTGATTAGGGCATCTCCAATAGAAAACTCCAAATTTTACGACAAAATAACGCAGAACTTCAAAATGGTGTGGTGTTGCTCCAATCGAACGCCATTTTAGGTGTTTTTCGGAAGGTAATCATCTTCTCCCTTTCGCGCGATCAGAAGGCCGCCGTTTTATGTGACCAAACCATTTAGGTTGACTCTCTCTAATCTTACCTTCTACTGGAGCTACTCCCAACCTTTTCACGTATATGCTCATTTCGTATCCTATCTCTAAGGGTAAAGCCGCTCACCCACCTGAGCATCCTCATCTCTGCCACACTTAACTTAGTATTATGCTTCTCTTTTAATGGCCCACATCAATAATATTAGATGACTCAAAATTATTATGCAAGATTTCAATTCTATGATAGAAAATATTTGAATATTTCAAGTAAACCCTAATAAGAATAGGAAAAAATAAATCAGGTTCAGATTGAGTGGATTGTTTTACATGTGGGTATAATCTTTCTTTTTTTATGATATATAATAATTTATAGTAAATAAGTTATAAAAAATTTAACCAAAACGGGTTAACGGGACGGGTTTGGGTCATTCGGGTTGTTGGCAAGTTGAGTTCGGGTTGATATTCGTGACTCGTTTATTAAACAGGTCAGGTTCGAATTTACTATATTAGGGTCAGATCAATTTCATATCAAACTCAAACTCAACTAAATAATCCATTTTGACACCCTTTATATAATTATGGATGCTCTTGCTTCTGGAGGTGTTCATACCAACCAATATTGTATTATCTTTACAACACTTGCCTATGAAACTCACTATGACTTGTTCTTTGATTGTCATTTTTTACTAAGTTTGCTAAAATTCCGCAATCCAAAGGGGTGCTTCTTTCACTCGAGCTTTAACTTATCCCAAGTCCTTCAACAGATGATGTGTTCAACTATCCTATCACAAAATAGTTCTATTTAATGGCCGCATATATTATTATCTACTATATTTGGATGAAAAAAAATTAGAAAATCATCAAAGAAACTAGCTTCCTACTAAATATGCTTATTGAAAAAAAAAATCATTTGTTGTTCATCATAGGAGTATAATACTAAGTTAAGTGTTGCAGAGATGAGGATGTTTAGGTGGATGAGTGGCTTGACCCTTAGAGATAGGATACAAAATGAGCATATACGTGAAAAGGTTGGAGTAGCTCCAGTGGAGTATAAGATTAGAGAGAGTCGCCTTAGATGGTTTGATCACATTAAACGGAAGCCTTCCGGTGACTCGATTAGGAAAGTTGAGGTATTAGATTTGACTTATGTTAAGAAAGAGAGAGGTAGACCTAAAAAGACTTGGTTAGAAAATATAACAAATGGTCTTTCTTTATTAGATTTAAATGAAAATTTGACTTTTAACCAGACACAATGACGAAAAAGGATTCATGAGCCGACCCCATGTAGTGGGACAAAGGCTTGTTGTTGTTGTTCATCATTGGAGTATAAAATGGAAATTTAGAGCTGAAATTCCTAATTTTGAAATTTTGGAACTATTCTATTGCTTTTATAATTTATATTTAATTTGAAAGCTTTTACTTTTGTTGTGTTAATTAATTAACTTCTCAAAAGTTCCTCCTCTTGAAATTTTGGAAATCACTAGCTATTGATAAACTTTATGATATAATTGAGTTATATTAATGAATAAGACCAATGATGATATTGAAGATATGATAATTAAAAAAAAACTTTTTCACATAAACGATGAAGGACAGGAAATGCACAAATTACACGAGAAGAAAAATTAATCGTACAGGCCTAAAAATAACATGAATAGAAGTTGTTTAAAATGATTTGTCAATAATATGTTCAACAACTCGAGCAAAACTATGCAAAAATAACTGAAGAAAAAATGAAGATTCATAAAATCAACCACAAATAGTTAGAATAATGATGATAAATAACCATTAATGTAAGCATTTTAATCCCTCTCTTAAAGATTCCTTTCACTCCAACTTCTAGCATCCAATTAGCCTAAAAGAACAACTAAAAATAACATGAATAGAAGTTGTTTAAAATGATTTGTCAATAATATGTTCAACAACTCGAGCAAAACTATGCAAAAATAACTGAAGAAAAAATGAAGATTCATAAAATCAACCACAAATAGTTAGAAAAATGATGAGAAATAATCATTAATGTAAGCATTTTAATCCCTCTCTTAAAGATTCCTTTCACTCTCTCTTAAAGATTCCAATTAGCCTAAAAGAACAAATGACAACTAAGAAGGAAAAAAAAAATACATGCTAACTTACTGCATCATTAGACGTTCTAAAAATTTCTACTAAGCTCTGATGAATTCAATTGAGAAATAAACAAAGTAATCGCATCATAAATATGATGACATGTTTCTTAAACTCATTGGACTCATTTGCAAAGATCTGGAAAAAGGAAGCATAGACAAGCATGGAAATAGGAATTACAAGATTATCAAATAGGATTGGAAGGATGATGATGAAGGCTTCAAGGTAAAGTTATAAATTAAGAAATTATTATATTAGAGGAAAATTTGGAGTAACATCTATAGAAAAAAATATATAAAAAAAAAAAATTTAGGTGGTTTGAGCATATGCAACAAACAATAGCAATTAGATAGATTAGACCTGTTGATAAAATTAATATTCGAAGATTAGAGAGAAAAATAGGATGATCTAATATTACATGGATAGAAATTATTTACAATGATTTGTGAATAATAAGTTTAAAACCCTAGACAACACTCAACAAGAATGCAGAGCTAAGATTACATGTATCTAAAAATAATTTGTGAATATAAAGAATAAACCAGAAACAAAAATCAGCGAGAATGAAATAGTCGATGAAAAATCATAATGTCGATCCTAAATAGTCAAGGTGAGTCTAATGATAATGTTATTCAATAATGATATAATTATGGGTAGAATTGGATACTTGTTCTTTGAAAACTATGGAAAGAAAAGGAATAAATTAAGATAACTATTTCAAAATACAGGTGAATTAGGCAAACGATCCAAAAGAACAGGCATTTGAGCGCTAAGAACATGAACATAACAACATCGCACAAATGGTAAAACCATCATGCAATCTATATTAAACACAACACAACACACAAATATAGCGTTCTGATAGGCTTCTAGGAAAGCACTATCTTCGCCATTTTAATAATGCGGTTCGAAAGAGAGGTGCAAACATAACATAATCTAATATATAAGATACTACATCAAACATCAAGCCACACAGATAGATGCCCATACGAATAGAAATCCATCAAATCCGAGAAATGAATAAAATGGTACCATGATAAGTCGATCCAGCTCAATCTCAAGCAACCGCTGGCTCAGACTCCCCGGAAGCGATGTCCTCACCAGTCGGTTCGGTGTGCTTCGGAACAGAGTCGGATGCATTTCCACTATATTCTGCTGCGGGAGCAGCATTGGCCTCAACGGGAGTCAGAGAAACAGAGGAAACCTTAGCTTTCAAGTATTGGATCATCCTTCGGCACATTTCCTTGGAATAGATCTTGTGGATCTCCATCCATTTGTCCACGACCGCCTCAGTGGAGATGAACTCGACAGCTTTGGGAGCAGAAGGTGGCGATACGTACGTGGAGGCAATATCGAAGGCCTCCTGCTCGATGCGACGAGCGACAGCGGAGGCCTCCTCGGATGGTAGGGTTCCGTAGTCCTCGGAAATAATGGACGGAGTGGAAAGATCCTCGATGCGGTTGTTGATGATGGCGTCGCGCGTGCGCTGAGACGGCGGCCAGAGATTGACGGAGAAGGACGGAAAGGATATCGCCAGCGAAGTAGCGGTTGCGGGTTTATCATCTGATTTGGGGTTTTCGACCTCACCCTCACCCTCCTGCATGAAATCTTCGCTGTCTTCGGCCATAACCTGTAAAAAAACAAGAGATACAGAGCAGCAATAACAAAGGAACGGGAGAGCAGGAACAAGAAGAGCAGGAACAAGAAGAGCAGGAAACCTCGTTTTGATTAGTTCTATTTCATCAAAATATGCTTCTCCATCTCCATGATTCCGTCCGTAATGGACTATATATCAGTATGAACAGCGCTGAAAAGAAATTCTAGAAAGGGAAATAACCATCAAAAAGGTTGCCACTATACGGCAGATTCATAAAATAGAAATATAGAGTAGTGGATATAGTTAGGCTAGCTGTTGCAGTAGTCTAATGGAGTAAGATAACCCGCATCAGCTGATAATCCGCATCAATGAGGACAGCTATTTTAGGACGGAGGAGAAGAGGATAGGGAGGGCGGGAAGAACATTATTGTTAAAAATTTCAAAATGGTAGTTCAAGGTTAAACAAGTCCAAATTAGATTTGAATAAGATTGGAACATTGTAGAAAATGGAAGGGCTTATAGAAAAAAAAATTGATTTTGCAATGGTAGGATTCGTCGCCGCTACTGGTTGCGCCTCAAGGAACAATAGGGGTGTCAACTTTTGACCCGACCCGGACCCGACCCGGAAAATCCGGGTTGGACCCGACCCGTTTAATAAACGGGTCGGGTTCTGGTTCGCATATTCGACCCGTTTGATAAAACGGGTCGGGTCGGGTTGACGCCGGCGGGTTGTCGGGTCAACCCGACAACCAGTTTATTAAAAAAATTTGAAATTTACTGCCCGCTGCCCGCTACCCCAGCCCGAGCTACCCGCTGCCCGCCTGGTCATAAATGGGTCGGGTCCGGGTTGAAATGTCCGACCCGTTTGCATAAATGGGTCGGGTTCGGGTTGACTCGTTTATATCCGGGTCGGATCGGGTTCGACCCGAACCCGACGGGTTGACCCGAATTGACACCCCTAAGGAACAAGATTTCAAAATGAGAGCTCATTAAGAAAGACGACCACGGGATAGCGCATATGAAAAGGCTCACTATGGGAGACATTACGGAAAAATATGTGAATCTTTGAACTAAGAACCTAATTCAAACCGATTTCAATTTAGGTTTGCATAAGATTCGAACGTTGTTCAATCAAACCAAGATCAAATCTTAATCAAACCAATTCAAATATCATTCGAAACTAGCTCTAACAAAGTCCTAATTTGAAATAATTCAAACTAAACTTACTCGTGATAAACTTCAATACGCAATCCGTGTATATATATATATATATACACATCTCTCCAAAGATATCTCTCAATAAGAAAGAATTAAATTTAACATAGCTTATAGTATTATATTTAGGCTTTGTTTGGGATGGTAAAAACAGTTAGAAGAAGTGTTGTACTCTTAACTTTCCTTTTCCATCTTGAAAACCATGGAGGATATTTGTTGGTATCCTATTTTAGGCAGAATTGAAGCAAGAGTTAGGCTTAGTTTGGGATGACTTTATTACTGCTTCTTAAAGTAATTTTTTAGTAAAAAAATAAAAAAATTTATATCAAAAAGAACCTAAAGTAAATTAAATGCATGAATTTAAAATCTTTGGAATAAAGTATGAAGAAAAATAAATATAAATTAATAATTTGATGAATTTTAAGTCTTTGTTTTAATTTATTTTGGTGTATTTTAAATTGCCTGATTAGGTTGAATTTAGCCTTTTTAATCACGATAGACGCCTTCACTTGCTCGTTTCCTCGTTAAGTGTTTATCGGATGCTCACCCTTGCATCACTCATAGTCTACCTCCACTACCCTGTTCTTATTACATCCGGTGCAAGGACGTAGAGGAATGTCCGGTCGGAGCCAAATTTTCGCCAAAAAATTCGGTATTTTCTCGGTACAACTAGGTATTATTTGATAATAACGATGAATACCGCTTTTTGAAGACCAATACCGAGTTATACCGAGCTATATCGAGAAATACCGAGTTGTACCGAGTTTTTTCTAGTATAATAATAATAATATAATTTGAATGAAAAGTAAAATTAAAATTAACTATAATTTAAGCAAACATTGGAATTAAATTCATAAGATATTGAGTTCCTATAAAATAAATAAAATTCACTGGCATCATTTTAAAATTGAAAATAGTATTATTAATAGGTTTTGAAAAACTTTGCCATCATGAGAGAAGAAAATTACAATCATTGCCCTCATTCTATCAAAATTTCCCCACAATTTAGTTGGTCTAATTCATCTGAAATTACATATTTACATTGAAAAATTTGGCCCTCTATGATAAGATTGTTCTGTTATTTTATCTCACTATGTGGGTCAACAATGCAAATCTTTTTTTGTTCATCGTGTCATATTCAAAGTCAAATTTTCATTTAAATTTAAAAAATATCATTTTAATACTTTAAAATCAAATCTTTTTGGATTTGTCTCTATCCTTTTTAACATAGATGTGATCTAATGCATCTACTCTCCTTACATGGTTATTAGAAGATCAATAGGAGCCCCTTAGTCACGTGTAGGGATATAACAGAGTCAAACTGATTTGTGAGCAGGCGTAGGATGAAGCTACATAAATGACTCAGACCCTAGCCCATGAGTTAACAAGTTTGTGAGTCAATCATGATTCGACTGATAAACTCGTTGAGAAAAAATTAATATTAAATACACTTGAAATATATTAAAGTTCAAAATGTTTAATTTTCTCTTCATTTAATTTCTTATTCTTTTATCATATTGTTATAAAAATATGTTGAATGAGAATGATTTCTCACTTTATTATAAATGAGTCGGCGCATGAGTCAAGCTAATTATTGAGTTAATTGATAAATCAGGAACAATAGGATTTTTTTTTAATAATCATCTAAAGATAACTCTTTTACAGTATTATTTTTATTTTTTTATTTCTCAAATTCCTGATATTTATTTATGCTAAAAATAAATGATGAAAATATTAGAGGTAAAGCACGTTCATTTTTTATGATTATGATCATGCAAATCAAACATTCAGAGTAACTTCTCAACCTAATGGAAGAAAAAAAATATAATAATAATAATAATAATAATGGAAAGGTCAAAAATATCTGTTAGATTTCATTTGAGACAATTTTCTTACTGTTTTTTAAAATAATTTTCTAATACAAAAATTTTAGGTAAAAAATTGCTTTAAAAAATAGTACGAAAGATATCTCAAATGAACTCTTATGTAAAAAAGCCAATGATGGAGAAACGAAGTCTTTTCCCCTATTGGATGTTGTGCATCTTAGTTCAACTATACCTTATGAATAGTATATCTATTTTTGTACTCATTTTCTAGAACTTTCTAGAATAGTCTATGAATATGAAATATATTTTTGAAATGATTCCCTACATCACTATTGATTCTCCATACTTGGTTGATAATGAACCTTCATCTTGTCTGAAACATATGGAACTTCCACATAGATGGTTTCTTTCTGCTTCTTAAAGCAACTTTTTAGTTAAAATTTTTTAATTTTTGCATTAAAAAACTGCTTTAAGAAGCAAAAAATAAAACCGTCCTAAACAAAACCTTAGACATTTTCACAAATTCTGCTATCTTGCCTGGCAATAACACTGCTAAAAATAGCCAGCAAGCCCAAACAGCCACTTCTGAAGTTAGGAAGGGTAGAAAGAAAAAAGATGGATTGTCTCCCACTAAAAAATTCATGTTTTTCACCTAAAATTATGGCATGGAATGTGCGAGGCCTAAATGGTGAAACCAGATTCACTAATTCTAGAAAACTGGCCAAAGGGCATATGTTGAATCTTAAGCTTCGTTTGAAACAACTTTTTTTATGCTTCTTAAAGCAGCTTTCTAGTATAAAAAAGCTTTAAGAATCAAAAAAAAACCATCTCAAACAAAGCCTTATCATGGAACTTTTATTTTATCCGGTGAACGTACGCTCCTCTACGTTCGGTTTTAGACCAAAACAGCGAAAAAAAAAAAAAAAACTGTTTTAAGAATCAACAAAAAAAAAAAACTCATCTCAAACAAAGCCTTATCAGGAGAGCAATTGTCATAAGTTTCATCTAAGTACTAATAGAAGAATCTAGAAAAAAAAGGGACTCAACCAAACTCTCTGTTTTGCCTCTTATCTTCAATGCTTGGTTTAGGAGAAATTATTCTGTGTAGGCGAATCAGGTGCAGTCACATCAGTGGCATCAAGCCACGGTACCAAACAAAATGGTGATGTGGCACATTCTTGTTGATCTCCGGACGACATTCGACGTCCACACAGAAGAACTTTTCTCATTAGTTTAGAAACGGATGACTTATTTTCTCACAAAAATGTCAAAATTTTTATCACTGTCACTGATATTGCCATTATTATTTCCTTGAGACCATTCAACAAACTCAAAACACTACTATTAAAGGTGACCCTTTGCATTTGACGATAAATTAGACAATGCCAAAGTTGCTCTTATAAAATCATCTTAGAGCTCTTCCAAATACAATGCAAGCACTATCTCATCCATCAAAAGTCAGCAGGAAAAAAATCTACCAATCATTGGGAGCTGCTACTCTCAAAACTTGTTTGCTCCAATATGCCCCAAAATTTGCATTAGGAAGATATTTGATAAGGTTAGTATTTAATTTCTCTATTGAAGACTAGAACAGCACAAGTTACTTACAACAAGTTTTCATTAAATGGATAATTGCTTGCACATCTAATGTGTATTTCTCAAACATTATAAATACAGAGCTAGCTAAATGATTACTTTTCTTCCACCATCCTCTCTCCATGCTTATTTAGGTTTATATGGACTATTTTCTAGACTAAAGAAAGGATGCTCAGATTATCTTATTGAACTACACTAGTACCATTGGTCATGGCAATCATATTTTGCTGATGATTTACTTTGTTTGATAAAGCTGGCATCAATAATATTAGATGTCTCAAAATTATTCTGCAAGATTTCAATTCTATGATAGGAAATATTTGAATATTTCAAGAAAACCCTAACAAGAATATGGAAAACAGCAATAGAATCACACAAAATCTAGTGGAAAACTCTTCAAAATGTAATTGGATTGCAAAAGAGAAAACTAACGGAAACAACGAAAACAAAGATACAATTGATCATCAATTCGAGAGCAGAATCATCTCTCCCAATCTCTAGATAAGTCTAGAGCTCAAGACGCCAAGAAGAACCCTCACAAGAACCAATAATCAAAAACATAACCTTAAACCTAATCTACCTCCCATACTTAAGGCATACAATTAAAACAATAAGAC